CCTTCTCTTTTTCTCTAATGTAAAATAATCATTCCACAGTGACGGCAAAAATTGTTACCCAGATGGCACCAAACCATTTTCCTTTGATTTTTTAATAAGAGGCGCGTTTATCAAAGAGATTTCTCAACTTACTGTTGGTAATGGGAAATAATTTGAAAGGCACACAGTGTGGATCATTATACTTCTTTGATGCAGATTAATGGCAGCTAAAACAGCGTTTTGTAATTGCTTCATTTTGCCATAGACTTTTTTTCCCCTTTGTTACATTAAGATGGTTGGAGAACACTGTTTTAGGCTTATAGTTTTTACACACATGAAGGAAAGATTTGGATGGCTGCCAGTTTCGGAGAAAAATCCATTTGTCTTTCAAGTGGCATTGTTGCTTTTAGATTTATTTTTTTTCCACCATCATAAGATTTTTCTTTTTTTTGTGTGTGTTTGTTTTCTATCACATCTTAAAGAGAAACTTTCCTGAAAGTGAGACTTTTCAATGTGCAGATATGAGTTGCCTGGCTGTCATAATTGACCTCTTGCTTTTTAGTTGGTTACCCAGAACTAGTGTGTAGTCAATGATTTCTAATGCTACTCTTAAGTTTATGATCTGCATACTTTTTCTGGGTTAGTGTTTTAAAGTATTGAAGCCAAAAGCTCTGCATGCTAGCCATGCACCCAGCATTTTTAGGAGGGGGTTAATAGTGCCAACCTCCATATTAGAGGTATGGCACTTATCTGAGTCATTCGGGTCTAGCTTGCCACCTGCTGGTGAAATCTTTAGATGAATACGAAGGTAAATCTGTTGCTTACTTAGAATTTCTTAAAAAATAGCACACCTGCAAAGGAACATGCACCGCCAAATGCTGCTCCAGTGCTGAGTAGTCCACTGTTAAAATTTCTTTCAAGATGGATACTTCTGGGACTGTTGATTTCTGTGGTTCCCCTGCAGCACATGATGGATTATACTGCTGATGTCAATTCTTCACAAGATACAGTTGTGAGGTCAGCAGGGCGAACCAATGAGTACTATGACAGACAACTGCAGCAGCTGACTAAAGCTGGCCATAGACCTTACAACTAGAGGTGCACCGAAATGGAAATTTTAAAACCGAAACAAAAAAAATTGTCAAACCGATACCGAAAATGTTTTTCATTTAAATGTTTTCAAATGTGTTTTTATATTTTATTTATTTTTTATAAACCTTTTTACATTTTTTTTTATTTGTATTCATTTTTTATTATTTTTTACTTTACTTTTCCCTTCTAAAATAGAAAAAGAGATTGATGAGGACACAGAGTCCTCAATCTCTTTTTGTGCAGCCCCTGTTATAAATGAACAGGAATCCTCTATAATGAGTGTTCCTGTTCATTCATAACTTGAGAACAGAGTATGTTTTACTATAACCACAATCATGAATGAACAGGAGGTGATGTAGAACACTCCCATTCATTTATAATTTAAGATATAGTACACATACCATGCCCTCAATTATGTACAAACACTCATCGATCACTGAATGTTTGTACTCGCTCTCCTCTCTGACACGCTGTCACAGAAGGCTGATCCGAGCGGTGTAGGGAGGAGAGCTCCTCCTCCTGTGACAGCGCAGCCTGTCTCTGCCCACACACCGCTCTGCCGGACTGTGATAGAAGGCTGAGCGGTGTGGGAGGAGGGGCGGGCTTCTGATGACTGCAATGCTGAACGTGCAGTGTGCGCTTGTGCACACCCGCCCTTGCAGCATTTGTCTTACGTCCCCTATGGCCAATTTTGGGTATGGTAGTTTTCTGCGATTTCGCGGGTGCGCGCAATTTTAAAGGTTGACATGTTTGGTGTCTATTTATCCGACGTGACCCGATCTTTTATATTTTACCAAAAAACTGGGTAATAATAAGTGTTTCCTAACATAATGTAAAAAAAAAAACTTTTTTTTTTTTCAAAATTTTCTTTAATTTTTCCTAATTATAGTAAAAAAATAAAAACCCCAGCGGTGATTAAATATCACCAAAATAAAGCTCTATCTGTCCCCAAAAAAAAAAAATTCATTTCAGTACAGCATTGCATGACTGAATAAATGTCAGTCAAAGTACTGCAGCGCTGAATACTGAAAAATGGCCTGGCCAGGAAGGGGGTCTAAACACCTGGTCTTGAAGTGGTTAAGTTATTCTATGTGAATGAAAAGATGTAATAAATATAAAATAGATGTTACCCTAATATGGCTGCATTAGTGGAAATGAGGCGAATAAACATGCAAGATTGTTCATACAGGCTGTCTTCCTTAGCACATCTAATCTAATCCTAACATTTATAATTATTTCTATCCTACATATTAGACTATATTAGACTGACTAATGTAGACTGACTAATGTAGAATTTTCTGTGTAAGGACAGCCATGCTGAAGTACCACACATGCATAATAGGCATCAAATTAAGACTGTACTTTAAACTGATGATCTTTTTGTGCAAGGAGTAAATTAATTCACTTTTAGGCAGGTTAATGTTGAATATTCAGAATTACATTTCATTCTATGCAAAATTATCATGCTAATTTTTACACCTACAAATGTAAATTTTGGATTAAACCATGATAATAAACGGAACATTTTATATCTGGGGTAGAAAGTCCCCCCTTATTAATCCCTTCGTATTCATATGCTTTAATGAGTTTTAAGTTTGTGGTTGTTTATTAAAGTGAGGTGAGGCCCCAGTAGTTAGAAGAAGTACTATGTATGGAAGTATGATATGCTAAAGCATAGCACTGCCTGACTTTAATGCACCATAAACTTTGGAGAAAGCATTGCAGTGTAAATTGAACCTTGTGGTCAATAGTACTTTGTTCTTCACTTTCCAGAACGAGAAAGTTTAAATGGTAAACTGTACAATAGTGATACATCTAAAATGTTTTAATCTTAGAATTTCTATAAGCCAGAGGAGTTGGGTCAGCACAGAGGATATTTAGAAGTTCCGAGAAGGGAGCAGGGCTATGACAAGCAAGGAGGAATGAGTTGTGCTAGGGAAATCACACTATGCCGTGTAAGAAGAGTCCCATCCAATAAAGCAGGATTATTCAAAACGGCAATAATGCGGTAGTTCCAATAATGCTGGTGGAAAAAAATAACTAAAAACCCCAGAAAGCAGACATCGGACGTAGCACTAGTACATTATTAGGGTGGTAGTTAGAAATATAAGATCAAGTAATCACACTCACATGGATTTAGAATGTAGCAGCGCATCAAAGATCCCACTATGCTGATATCTTGGGCATATCTCTAGGATGAATCGTAGTGAATGGATCCAGGCAGAGAGACCTTGTAGTAGTGAAAACATCTATAGGTGGCTGTTAAGCAAATACAAAGACCAAGGGCGTCTGATCCCGTTTTAAAAGATGATGATTTATTAGGATAATAGTTTTGTTTTTTCCTAAGATACCTGCACTGTTCCATTAAATAAGGGGCTCATCAGTCCCCTTGTTATAGCAATACAGGTAAGTAAGTTAAAAAAAGCTTACGTTACTAAATATATAGCCTACATTTTTAAAAGCTGCCTGCCCCCACATATATACGCCCATGAACATAAATCTGAGCGTTGAGTGCGCCTGTGTGTAAAATCTACACTTGGGCCACACTTTCTAGGTATTGCTTTGTACATCAGAGTAAGAGAAATAATTATAGGGCTAACATTCACTGCTGACTCTAAACTGATGAACTGTGAAAGCTTTTGAAGCATTGTTTATAGACAGTTTGGGTACTGTAGTTTTTGGGTATGTGCAATTATTAAGGCTTGACATGTTTGGTATTCCTTTACTTGACACAACCTCATGTTTTATATTTGATCAAAAATGGGTATTTTATTGTGTTTGTGCGCACTAAAATTTGTGTTTTTTGTTGTTTTTTTTTTTAACCAAAAATATGGGTTTGATTAACAATAGTGCAAATGTTGTGCAGCATAAAAAAATTGCAACTGCCACCATTTTATTTTACAGGGTATCTGCTTTCAGAAAATATAGAATGTTTTGGTGGTTTTACGTAATCTTCAGGCCTAAAAATCTGCATTTGACATGTGAAAAAAAAAGTTCTGGCAGAAAAAGGGTTAAGCGCCTTGAGAGGAATTTATCAAAACTGGAGCAGACAAGATCTGGAGCAGTTGCCCAGGGCAACCAATCAAATTCTCTCTTCAGTTTAGATTTAAAAATGAAAGGGAGAAGCTGATTGGTTGCCATGCACAGCTGCTCCATATTTTGTCTGCTCCAGTTTTGATAAATTCCCCTCGTGTTTAGTCCTTGCCGCATTAAAAAATATGTATTGTGGTCCTGCATTCTCCTTTTTCTTTTCTTAGCTTTGATGCTATTGCTTATATAGGCTCTTTTTTTTCAGAGCTCTTAAAGGAGAACTATGGGGTTAAGGCTTTTCCCCATAGTTTTCCTTAGGGTAACAGGAGGACACAAACTAGCGTCCTCCAGTCGGCCTAGGCTCAGTATACCGCGAGCTACTGAGACGCCGCAGCTGAAGCGGATCCCGACAATTGTGCCGGGATCCGCCCAGCTGCGTGACTGACAGCTGGCTCTGCCTATCTAGAGGCAGAGCCAGCTGTACCCGCCCCCTCCCCTGTCCGTTCCGCCAGTCAGCGCTGGCGGATCAGAGCGGGGAGGGGGGAATCCAGCCCCACCCCTGTCACGGCAGAGAGCCGTGACAGGATCGAGAGGTGAGCGAACGCCGGTATGTATTCGCTCACCTCCCGATCTACTGAGCCGACCTGTGACAGTCTCATTGTCACAGGTCGGCTAGAACTATGAGGTGAGTGAAAAGCACTCCTCATAGTTCTCCTTTAACCACTCTTATCTATTCCAAAACAGGAAAACCAAATCATAATCGTAATTTTCCAAGAATGCCCTTTTCTAACACATTTTTTTTTTTTAAACTACTGTTCCAAAACAATTGTTTCTATTAGAAAGTAATGGTACCTACATAACCTGCTGAAAATGACTTATAATTTCCAATTCTCTTACAGAAAACGACTTGGATTTATGTCAAGATGCGTCGCTCAAACAGAATACCACTCAAGAAAAATGCAATAAAAACCAGATAAAAATGAGGTTCAGCCCTCGGAGAGGAAAGGTGAGGTATGTCTTGGAGAAAGGAGTTAACCAACAAATTCCATCAAAACGTGAACAGATTCCAGTGTTAGAAACATACGAGTTTGTGTCATCTTCACCCGACATAGAGCCCATGAAGAAAAAGCGAAATAATTCAAAGCCAAGAAAGTCCAAAAAGAAGAAACTAGCAGATATCAACCAAGAATGGGGAGTTGGGGCACAAACGCAGAACGGTGATGACGTCGAGAAAAAAGATGTTTCGAAAACCATTAGATCCGTTTCATTTTGCAGTTCTCCTGTAGTAGTTGCAACATCACTCAGTCTACAGGAAAACGATCAAAACTCTGATTCACCAGTAAAAAAAAGTCAGACTAGGAATGTGGACTGTTTTGAAGAACATACAGCAACTGAATCTAAAAATAGTAAAAAGTTGACAAAGGTCAGTCCATTGAAGCCTTCTGTGCCAGTTTCTAACACTATTGTATCTAAGTCTCTATTGCAGCAAGACTGTGTCTCTAATGGTACCCAGGTAGATGGAAGTAACCAAGACAAGAATAAGAGTGGAGTTGATAATGTTGAAGAAAAAAACAGTAACAAAAAACCTTTACGAAGTACAAGGCAAAAAAATGCATTAAATGTAACTCCTAAAAGAGAAAATACATCCTTAAAACGCAAAGAACGCCCATCCGTTTCTCCAGTTTCCACTACCTCTAAACGCTCAAGACAAGGGCCTCTAAAGCCAAGAGTCACCTGTAAGTCTGAGGAGATAGAAGACATAGCGGATTCAAAGCTAGAACAGCCACAATTGCTTTCCAAGCCTTCTACACCCTCTTCTAAAAATGGAAGAAGAACAAGCCAAACTAGTGCCTGTATTCAGATGTCTCCAAGTAGCCCTTTTGTTTCTAGGAAGAACATTAAGGGAGAGACATTGCTTCATGTTGCTTCTATAAAGGTAATCAGTTGGATAATGACATAGCAAATGTGTATTTTCTTTTTATTTCCATTTCCTATTGTATATCAATGGCATCTCTATATTACACAAGATTCACCTACACAGTTGCTAGAATCAACTATTTTAAGCTAGAGCTTCTGTCAGTCAAAAATACTTGTCAAGTGAATAGTTTGGGGTATATAAGTAAGCATTTGAAACATATATGCATCCCAGCTGATTTACAGTATGCAGATGCTCTAAGATCTCATCTACACTGAGATATTGGTAGAAAACCTTAAAGTGTAGTTCCACTTTTTCAGTCAAATTGGGATAACACCTATTTTATGTTTGTTATATGTTCCCATTCACATAGCCTAACAAAAAAAAATTGCTGCTTACAATTTTAAGTGCTTAATGCTTTCGTAAAAGCTCAGCTCAGCTGATCCAGATGTTGGATCGGCTAAGTCTAAGTCCCTCTGCACTTCGGCTCGGGCGACCGAAGGCAGCCGATGTATGGCTGAAATCAGCCGTACTGAGCCGGAGTGAATAGCCGAACGTCGTTCAGCTCTGTTCACTTCGGCTCGGTTATTCACTCGGCAGCTTACTAAATAACCCTGATATGGGGGTTTCTCAAATTTGACTGCAAAAGTGGAACTACACTTTAAGGGTTTTTTCAGGTAAACCTTAAAATAACTCTCTAAATGTACTGTGTTTTTTTTTTTTTACAACCCCAGGTAGTGTAGCTATATTTTAATAGACTATAGATAAGCATCTTTTAGCATTAACTATTATTTAACTATGGGTTAAAAAAAAATCTCCACTGAAGTTTTTATTGTCGAGCTTTAAAGCTGTAGTTATTCCCAGCTGTCAGAGCTAAAATTCTTTTATGTGCAGCAATCGTTACTACGTTTTATGACCATTCTTGGATGCTTATTAGTTCCATTTTTGGCATCTGATTTGAGTTAATTTAATCTTTTGGAAGGCAATGGGAGCTTTGCTTGATTATCGTGCATTTTCCAGGAAATGCTCCATTGGTAAGAAAATTGGTCTGGAACTCGTCGGAGTCTCCAGGAGAATACTAAAAAAAAATGTAAGCTGCCACAATTAAGCTATCTGCAAGTATTGTGTGACTGACAATAACTGTGCAAGAAAGATGAATGAAAGTTGATAACCTGGCCCACGAGAATGTTTTTTTCCAGACTACGATTTCCCTTCTGATTTCCAGAATTTGTAATTTCCTTCATAATTATCTTGTCAACACTGTTAAAGAGGGGAAAAAAGCAGGGCCCTGTTTGATAAAAATAAGCAGATATCACTTTTTTTTTGATTAAGAGCAATTGGCCAAAAATAATTTAATGATGGGTCACCAAATTGCATAGACCAGTTCCTTGGGCATTCAACTTTATCGTGAGTAGCATCATCACCCTTGACTTAAAAAAATGATTAGCCATTCATCAGCCTACACACAGCACAGAGGAGCTGTGTACAAATGTGACTACTCAATCGACCACTGTAAATGGATTGTATGCAAAGTGGATCTCTGACTGACTTTGCCATAAAGCTTTGAGACTACTCAACGCACATTTTTCTTGAAAACAGCAGTGCTTTCTGACAGTGTAATACATTTTCCTGACTGCATAGTGTACTATTGACAATTTTCCACACTTACCCCTGACTTCTACACCAGTGGGTAAAGTGTTGCAGCTTACCACTTTGCTGAAGAAGCACACGCTGAAGCAAGCCCTTTAACTGAACGTCTTGTATTGAAACATTTACTCAAGTACCATTTTCTTAATATTACAGTACAGGAAAAGTCTTACCCTTAGATTATACTCCCACTAGATTATACTCCCACATCTCTCTACTAAGAGAAGCTTACCTTTGGGCATTTTGTTTTTCTCCGGGTTTTCTCTAGCAAGTTCTAGTTGCTCCATAGCCACTGTGGCTACCTGCAGCTTTCTGGATTGGTTCACTCCCCAGCTGAGCCGTGGGCGATTGTACACGGACCCCACCTGGAAAAAAGTGAGGTGCTGGCCTGTAATGTTGCTTTGCGCTCACCTTGCTTGTAATGTTGCTTTGCGCGCACGTAGTACAACTAATTGAGATAACTGCATGGTGCGACGGGTCCAGGGTCGTGGTCCATCAGCCAGTGGAGCCCTGTCCCTGACGACCGTTTCAGGTAATGCCCACCAACAAGATAATGTCCCTAGCATCCTGATCTACTGTGAAGGGAATCTGCCACAGTAGTCTAGTGCCCTTCCCTAGCCCAATGTGCTAGTTCTCCATTTGCTCCTGTAGTTAATAGTGAGACACTGGCTGCAACACTTTAAATGGAGTGTCACAGCCATAGGCAGGAGCCTAGTCTGTTTCACAGGACCGCCATTGCACCTGAGCAACCTTGACTCCTCGGATCTCAATGCACATGTGCGTTCCACTTTTATGCTTCCACATGGACTGGTACAGCACAGCGATCCTCTGACATCTTCTGGGCTCCAGACGCAGAAGGCGTAAAGGTAAATTCCAACTTTTAAACAAATAAAAACAAATCCACACATATTTATAAAAGAAAAAAACGTGCATTTATTATTTTTTTGCATTGGAGCCAGTAAAGCGTTGCAACCATGATTAGTGGATTGCGGGTGCGATGCTCTGGCTCCTGAAGATTCACCCTCCCATCTTTGTCCTTATCGAGGTACGGACATTCAGTTACAGGGAAAGGAGAAAGAGTCAATAGACTACAAGTGCGGTGACGTCGCTGCACTTGTATAACTTTTAGAACTACAAGTCCCTCTGCTGTGGTGGGGGGACAGGCCTTCCATTCACGGATCCTGTCAAATAATCTGAATAGATAACACGGCTGCGTGGTTGGAGTCATGCATCGCCGTGCCATATTAAAAAAGCAGCAGCAGACTTCGCAGAGAAGAACCACGCGATTCAGGGAATTGTTGGAGGGTTTGAATATGGGTGTAACGTGGTATAAAAGGTAAACTTAGCCTTTACCCCTTCCCTCTCTGTAGTGGTCAGGTTTGTGAGTTAGCTACACCTCCAGAATCGGTCTCTGACTTTCCCCACACAGATGTCATTCTTTTTGAGGAGATGGAGAAGGAATCGGGTCTAGAATAGATCCTTTGTGCTCAGCTCTCACCAAAATTTACAGATACTATTATGTCAGCCTGTCCTAAGGTTTCCAGCCTGAGTTCCCTTTAAATGTCCAAACCTGTGAAGACCTTTTCTGTACACTCGCTCTTAATCCTCAGTGGGACATATCCTGTCTTTTCCTCCTGCCTGGTCTAAATCAGCATCTGGCCTTGAGAACCATCAAAGGACAGATTTCTGCCCTAGCTGTTTTGTTGGAGACAGCCTGTCGCTCGCTCCTTGGTTAAGGCATTTGTGCATAGTTTCAGATCAATCAGATTGCTCCCCTTTGTACGTGGTTGACACCTTGATTCCTGGTTCTGTTGACCCATCAGAGGCCACCTTTTGAACCCATCAGGGAGATGGTTCGGTATATGACCTCAGTCCCAAGGTGGCCTTTCTTATTGCTATCACCTAAATGAGGCAAGTGTGTGCGTTAGAGACCTTAGCCTGTAAATATCATTTCCTAGTGTTACACATGAATAAGGTAGTCTTATTTCTCATTTCTCCCCAAGGTGTTTGTTTCATTCCTTTCATTGTCCTTTCAGGACAATGTCATTCCCTTCTTTTGTCCTTCCCTGAAGCATCCCTTGGCATTTTCTGTTCACTGTCTGGATGTGGTACATGCTGTGAGAGTCTGCCTCTTTGTTACAGATTCGGCAATCGGATCTCCTCTTTGTCCTTCCAAAAGGTTGCCATAGAGGGCTTCCTGCCTTTCATTCCACCATTGCTAGGTGGATTTTACAAGTCATCTTTTAAGGCAATAGTCTCAATAGTAACCCTTCTTTCCCTGTTCCCAGATCTGTTAGCCCTTTATAGGTTTTTTAGCATCAGGCATCTATTTCCCAGATTTGCACAGCTGCCCCCTGGTCTTCCAGTCACATGTTTTGTTTTTCCAGTTGAATGTTCAGGTCTCACCTGATACCAGTTTCATGCATAAGGTGCTTCAAGCTGCTCTGAGTTGTTGAATCCTCTGTGCCTGTAAAGCTGCCCATATACCTTACAACCATCGCACGACTTTCGTTGTGCGATGGTTGTAAGGTGATTAAAATTCCGTACGAACTGCCCATCTTGGACAGGCAGATCATACTTGCGATCATCGCAAGCCCTCCCCGCTCAGGGGAGGGCTTGCCGATGATTGCAATGCTGAGCGGGCAGTGTGCTTGCGCACACCATCCCGTGCGGCTTTCGCCTTGCGATCGCTCTACCAACCCTCCTTGGTTTGTAAGTATTTGGCTGCTGTGCTGCCCACCCCTTAGTTGGACTGCTTTTGGATTTCCCATTTTTAAGACTAATCCTGTGCCCTGTACTGAATGCTTAAGAAAACTTGGCTTGCTCGCTTGACTAGACTTGCTTGTAAATATTTTGTTGGAGTGTAGTACAGGACCAAGGTCCCTCCTCTATGTTATTTATGATCTCTCTATTTCTTGCTTCAAGCTAAGGCTTGCTGGAGTGAGAGGGATACAAAGTCCTTGCAGCTTTGTTGCCAGTGTACAGTCACCACAGACTGATCCTGTGTCCTGTACTGTACTTTAACAAAAGAATTTTACAAGTAAGTCAAAAACTCTTTTTGCAACTCTATGCGCCAAGAGCAATTGTTGAGCCATGATTTTTTTCTAAATTTGTTTATTGAAAAATAACATCAAAAGTGTTTTGCATTGCACCATACAATCTGATTGTGTAATTTGTGAGCAATATTCTTTATTTCTACCAAAAACACAATGTAATATGAGGGCCTACCTTGCCAGGCAGATTCTTAAGTTACATGGCTGTTGGTAGATCTAAAGGCGATTTGTATAATCTTTGCAAAATATTCTTTAGATCTACCAAAATCTATGTAATATGAGGGCCTACCTTACCAGGTAGATCCTTGCACTACATGGCTGTTGGCAGATGTTCAAATGTGTAATGTGTGTGGTCAGCTTTAAAGAAAATCTTTTATGCCCACTTAATACATAATTTATGGCTTGAACAGACAGCTGCTAAAGTCAAAGTTATAGTCATATATGATATTTTTCAGTGACTTTGAAGGTTTTGAAGCAATATGCCAGCTAGACAACTAGTTTTTTTTGTCTGAAGCAGATATTACCAATTGCAGTCTACAAATATCAGTCTCATTCAGACAATGTTTTACCTCCTGGGAATAGGCTGATGCTTGCAGTGTCTGCTTTATTCATGAACTTGTCCGTGCTAGCGAAAAGATGTAATGTACATCTATGTCTACAAACTGCCATGGAAAACATTCTTTTTTGGTCAGATTATGAATGCATAACTCAACCCATGTATAATATGTAGGGCCAAATTTCACATGTTTTCAGCTGGGTGGGGCAAACCTCATTGACCGTTGTCATTAACACTACCTAATGGGACCCTAACCAATATCTAACTGATGTTATTACCTGAGCATTGCGTTAGGCAGTTGGATTTGGGCTGTTTATGGCTAGTCTTAGGGCTAGTTCACACCATATCTGCGTGGAACTTCGCAGCGGCAGTGCAATGCTTTTTCCCATGATTTTGACGCTTTGTTTTTTTTATAACTTAAAATAGGCTTTCAGGTGCAGTCCAGTGTGTTTGTATGCGTTTTTGATGCGTTCTGTTGCAATCAGGTGCCGCTAAAATGAAACCAGCAGTATTTTTTCTGACTGCATCGGAACTGACTGCACTGGTGTGAACAGAGCACCAGAAATCCTATTGGAAAGTATCGTGACGTGATTTTAATGCAGCTGCCAAACTAAACGAACTGCATCTGGTGTGAACTAGCCCTTATACAAAAAGCCTAACTGAAGCAATGTATTGGTTTACAATGTGCAAATACACATTCCAGCATGCCTGTTGCAGTTTTGTTTCAGAATTTGTATTCCCATTCCCATTCTTTGTGCATGTTTGTGCATAAAATGTATGGGTTTAATACACGCTGTATGTATGCTGCATCTTGGCTTTTCTGTTTTTTCTTTTAACACGTAAAACTCACAGACTTACTGTTTCTGACATAAAGCACAAAACAGAAGACCAAATGTTATTATAAAGCAGAGTCCACCCTGGAGATACCTGCATCAAACATCTCGGAGACCAACTAGATGAGCCTTAGGACTGAAATCTGCTAGAAAGAAATGTTCTTTTCATTGCACCACATTAATTTCATCTGTAAAGTGCCACAGCCTATGACTCTGCAGTTAGATGATATTTGTTCTCTGGCAGTTGTACAGCAACACCACTCTGATTTCTAGTCATAATAAAGGCTGCACCTTTTGCTGGTTGCAGTAATATTTTTAATACACTACTAAAGAGCAGCTGTCTTTTGCTAGAAGTAATAATCAGAAAAATGTGGAGCATGGCTTCCTGACATATCACACATGTAATGAATGGTTAGTCTGCTATTTTCACTGAATATTTGTAAGGATTATATGAGACACTTCATCCTGTTCTGGAATTCATAGAACTACTGTTTCATATTCTCACACAGGGGGACCTGAAAGGAGTGGAGGAGCTTCTCAAAAATGGAGCTAACCCCAATGTGAAGGACAATGCTGGCTGGACACCCTTGGTAATTATTATTTTTTAAAACTATTTTAAACCTTAAATCAAAGAATAAATGTTTGAGCAATAATTGAAGAGTTATTATCGGGTGAAATAGGGTCATAACTGTAAATTGGGTGACTTTTATAAGATTTGCGCAGACCCACTGCAGTTTAGTTTCTGCATATTACTAAAAACAAGCAAATGTGCCCCTATTTATAAACGGGTTCATTTAGGCAGAATGGGACTTGCATGTCATTTATCGCACAAACTATTTGCATGCCCAGTAAGGTAATATTTTAGCCGTGCACGTATTTGTTGGTCAGATTGTATCTGCTGGGGATGTGGATGTTTTTGAGCAATGTGTGCTGGGGATCCGTCCGAACTACAGTGCAAAAATCTGGAAGGCATTGGTTTTGAGACTTGGTGAAAGTGCTTTCCTGCCACTTCCATCAGTCAAAATTCTTCAACAGCTTAATTTAAAGCTACAATTCTTTTTTTATGCTGTATAGGAAGGATTGAGGGCAGGTTCACACCATTTTCCGGACCAGATCTGGAACGCAGTGCATTGCGATTTTGCCACGTTCCGGAGCTGTTTTATTTTTTTTGCTTTTGTTTTATCTTAAAATGGGCTTTCAGTTGCATTTCAGTTGCATTTGCATGCGGTTCCATGCGTTCTAGTGCACTCCAGACCAGACAAAATGAGACCAGTAGTATTTTTCTGGTCTGTTCTGGAACGCACTGCGCTGGTGTGAGCAGAGGCAAGACGTCAGAAATAGCACAAGCATACATCAGGATGCATTTTGGGACCGGAAATAATCTAGTCTGTTCTGGAGATGTTTTGGATGTGGTGTGAATGGGCCCTAACAAATGATGTCTGTTGCTTATCAGGGCTGTGAATCGCTTGTGCTGTGAACAGCTGGTCAGGGCAGATCACCCACACGAAAGACTGAGACTTCATGTTGTGAACAGCTGGTTGGGGGGGTGATCACTTTATGCTTTAAGTACTCGATCAATCTCTGCTTATTGCCTTAATTACTCATAGGAAACAGTATGTAGGTTCACATGAGGCAGAATCCTCAAGTGAAAAAGAAGTCGCCGCTTGGTTTAATATTATATATAAGATGTTTGAATGATTGATGACTGAGTTAATCATTCAGCTTATTAGCATGTTAACATCAAAATGGCATGCACTTGGGGGAAAAAAAGTGTACAAAGCATAGATATTTCCTGGTTTTCAAGATGGACAAGTTTTACAAAGGTCCCCTTTTAGGTGCTTGTCATCTTGAGCTGGCAATTGTGCCGCAGGCTGCTCAGAACACACGTTGGGCAAAAGCTGGCTAGGATGCAACATTTTCTCTCATTACAAATAGTAGTATTTTGTAAATGCACCTTGGTTATGCATGGCATTTGATCAGTGTGTGCATCAAGTAAAAAGATGTGTTTCTTAACATCTATAATCTAATATGTATGGCTAGCTTTTTTTTTTTTTTCCCCTGGAGTTTCGTCAGACAGATCTGCTAACTGGAGGACCTGTTCCGAGTTCTTTCTGCTGCGGCTATTACTCTCAAGGGCTGGCTGAAGCAGCATACAGTTGTCAGGCTATGCTCTTAGGTCTGGGAGACAAAAACATTTTTTAATTCCGGGTAGAAATAATAAGAATTGGACAACCTATATATTTTATTATTATATTTTGAGAACCATTTTCGTATCTGTTTAATGCATCAGAAGGCACTTTGAAAACTGAATTAAATTATCCAACAGGGACCTTACACAACATAAAAAGTTAACTTTGTTAATGAATTCTCTTCTATTGATGTACAATAGAATCCATTTAAAGGAAAACTCTACAGAGTGGAAATATGCACGTGCTATTACTGACCTATCATTTTTAGAATGCTAGTAGTCTTTCATACTGATCTTAATGCTACAGTCGTCTGGGTCAGTCACCTAAACAAATATGCAGATCAGAAGTTCTGAGTATTGCATGTGTGTTCTGGGTCTGTGAGTATAGTATTATAGATAGACAAGCAACTAGCATTTTAATGAATAGGTCAGCAATGCCTTCCTTTAAAGGAGGATGCCTAAAATACAGCTTAGTTATACAAGTAGGTCTAATGGTTATGCTCAGTCAGTGTTGTAAAGGAGAACTATTGGGAGAGTAAAATGTACTATTCCCAATAGTCTGTCATACGGTGGCTTTATAGCTCAAGTGAGTGATCACAAACCGCTGATTGCTCAGCTCACAGCTTCTCCTTGCAGAGAGCGGTGACTGTCAGTGATTTGGTCACCATCCTCATATGACTTATTTTGGTCCTTTTTTGGGGTTTTTTTTAAGGTGTGAGTTGCTAATGTTAGTACAGTGGTTATAGTTAGGTTTAAGACTATGATTATAGCTGCCAATGCAGGCCGCACACCAGTGACGTGCGGTACCTCTTGCTCGGGGTGAGGCATTCCCCATCCCACCCCACCCCCGCCGGACCAAGCCCCGCCGCCTGCTGGCCGAAGCATCGCCCCACCGGACAAAGCCCCGTCCCCAAGCTGGTGTAAAGGAGGGGATCGGGAGGAGCCTCCCTGTCCTCACCGCTGTGGCTCCATGACAGGTTACAAAGCAGGGAGGATTTCCCTGCTGTGTAACCTGTTAGATGCCCAACCTGAATGGAGAAAAAGCTGTCAGCTGCAGACATGCAGCTGGCAGCTTTTTCCTCCATAATTCTAGGTGAGGCTCTGCCTCCCCTGACCGCACGTCCCTGCCGCACACAGAACAATCAAGATCATTCACAGATTTGATGCTTTTAAATGGTTTTACAAAATTATCTTTCATTATAAGAATAAAAAGAAACAATTGGTTTGGTCATATTGGATTGAAATTCTCGCCAGGATCGATAGTTCCTTTTCAATGAAAACAATTGTTGCCTATTATTGTACTGTACTGGTACAGTACATTTTTGAAAGATCAGATTCTTTCTTCAAAACAATATTTTTTATTATGCTGGCCGTACACCTGACAAAAATGATTGATCTAGCACAGATCATCCCTTTTCAGATACTTTTTAAAGAAAAAGCATTTCATTGGATTTTGCACCAAGACTGATCATTCCTGTTGATTGTAAATGATTGAAAATAAAAAGTTATTCGTTTTTAGATATATATTTATAAAGCAGGAAATATGATATTTACCAGTCAATGTGTTTTAAAATACAGTGATTAATTCACCTGCAGTGAATGTTTGATAAATGTTATGTTTACAATTTGATCAATATTCCTTTCTTCGTTTCTTAAAATGTTTTAAGTATTTTTGTTTTGTTACTTCTTAATGTATGTTTATGTACTTTAGTGTGTGTAAAAAAAATGTTCATTTGTCTTTGATGTACTTTGAATAGGGGCAATTGTAAGGATGTATATTATATCGAACTTGTTTTAGTTTACATTGATTTTATTAGGGGGTGGGGATGTTCTGACATGACATAAGTGGTGTGTTCATGAGTACTATTTTATTTTTTGTGTTGCTAGCATGAAGCCTGTAATCACGGACACTCAGTCGTGGTAGAACTATTGATTCAGTACCAAGCTCTGGTGAATACCGCTGGTTACCAGAACGACACTCCTTTACATGATGCTGCAAAAAATGGCCATGTAGCCATTGTCAAACTGTTGCTCAACCATGGAGCATCCCCGAATGCAATGTAAGTGTAAAAAGACCAAACAAAATTTTCATATCTACATTCACATTCACATTCATTTAATTGTTCTGTACTTTTACTGTACCGTTGAACGAGAAATTGATTTAATCATTAGTTTCTTGCCATAATTGCCTCTTGAAAAGCAAGGCTTGTCTCTGTAGCAAAGTGATGAGGAAAAACGGCATTCAAAATTATGCCTCGAAAAAAGCAAGAAAAATGCTCATTATTTCAGTGTCAGATTGTCTGGATGACGTCTTTTTGAATGTTATTTTAAAGGGTCAGCCAGCCAAAAAGTGCTATTTTATCGGTGGAGTGATGTGGTCTGGAGTGCCCCCTGGCTTCTTAAATATTTTCCAACCCTCCACCTTAGTCTTACTGGTGTTACAACATGGGCACTGTCACATCTTCCCACTCTTCCTAAAAAAAAAAACAGTATGTGACTTAATTCATTATGTACTAAAATATTACTTTACAAATGACCAAGTCTTTGAATATTCACAGTTCACAAAAGATGAACGCAAATATATGGCACTGGGGTCCCTGGTTCGAATCCCAGCCAGGTCACTATCTAAAATGAGTTTGCTTGTTCACCCTGTGCTTGCCTGGGTTTCCTCCGGGTACTCCGGTCTCCTCCCACACTCCAAAGACATGCTGGAAGGTTAATTGGCTCCTGTCTAAATTGGCTCTTGTATATATGTATGCATGTGAGATAGGGACCTTAGATTGTAAGCTCCTTGAGGGCAGGGACTGATGTGAATATGCACTGTGTATAGCGCTGTGTAAATTGTCAAGTTTATATAAATACCTATAATAATTTAAAAAAAATAATGCAGTGCCAGTAACCATTTTATATAGCTGGAAGGTTGGCCGTCAGTCTTTCTTACACTGTTATTGGTGTTGGCCATCAGAATGCAGAAGCCAGGCAGACAGCACTTGCCGACTTTGTCTAAAACCCAAACCTTTTTTGCTTTGGAAACCTATTAGCAAAACGTTTCTGGTAACAAACCCAATGTTGAGGGATATTTTGAATGGTGGTCTACAAATTCTTGAAATCACAATTGCAGTATTGCCACAATCAGTAGCTAAAGAAAATGTAACCTTGACCCGTGACCTATTTCAAAAGCTGTAGTTGGTTACAATGATGGTCCTCTCAATACTTTATTAGTCTCTATTCCTGGACATGTGTGCATCTCATTAATGTCAGGGTAAAGTCAGCTGTTATATCTGCACATTTTTTTCTGGGTCAGTGACTCAAGGTTTTAAAACAAAAGAATTGGCAGAATGAAAAGTGCGCTACGGCTACGTGCTTCTTTCAGAAAAAGTTTTGTTTAAGAGGAAATGACTGGGTGTGCTACACAAAGACTTTCCAGCCTACTCCTCTGTATAGCACTAAATGGCCAATCCCTTGCCATAGGTAGCATTAGGCTGGCCATACATCTATAGATTGTCTGCAGATTTTCTATGGTCAGATGGATAAAGTGCAACAGATTCCTCCATCTACGCTAAACTGTGTGGATGGAGGAATCTCCCACTGGGCTAAGCTTCAGTATCTTGCTAGATGGCCCAGCTGGCTGTCAAAATACCTGAACAATCTGATTGGATGCAGGCATTGTTCAGGTATTTTGAGAGCCAGCCGGCCCGACTAGCAAGATACTGAAGCTTGGCCTAGTGGGAGATTCCTCCATCCGCAGTTTAGCTAGATGGAGGAATCTGTTGTACTTTTTCCATCTGCAGAGAATCTATAGGTATATGGCCAGCTTTAGCTTGTCCTAATAGATGCACTGACTGACTACTAACATGCATTACGTCTTGCAGATCTTGATAGTATAGAACAAAAAAAATTGTGTAACTTCGGCATTAAACAGAGAAATCAGTCTAAACTTATACATAATACACAGCATTAGTTGTCGTTTCAAGTCTTCTGCTTAGGTATTCAGCTTGTGTGCAGTTACTTGGCTGCTGCAGATTCCACTGCAGTGTGACTGTGTGAGGCAATAGTGAGTGTTTCTCTTTCTTTCTCTGGCTTTTTCTGATTTGTAAGAAAACTACTTACCCCCTTTTTAGATGCATATAGCCGAGGTTCAAATAATGGCTAATAAAAACTTGGCTCCCTCCTGTTTTTACCCTAGCTTTGAGGGTGGGAGAAAAAGCAAGAGAGGGAAATGGAGCAAAACACACATGTGATGGACCATGTACCCCAGCTGAATAATTTGTGATTGCTGCCTGAGAATTTATTGTGTTTTCTACTTTAAACAGTATCTGTTCCATGCATTACATGATGCATGACAAATGGGAACCATATGTCACACTATGGGGGCTTATGTTATTGTAAAAGAGCATGGACTGATGTGATTAATCAGTAGAAAACCTATAGGGAGATGCATCTAGAAGTATAGGGAAATTGATTTTAGATGCTTTTTTTTATTCTCTGTGCAAAATGTGAGACAGTGTAATAATTTCACATTAACTGTACATGCAAATTTTTTTTAACAAAGGGTATAAGCAATGGATACATGCTGACTTGAAACACATCCAGTTATACCGGATCATGGAAGGACTATAGCCCTGTTGTAAACCTTACCTATGCCAAAGAGAACAACTGTGTACTGTCCTGTCCAGAACTCCAGGCTCTTTCCGGCTGTCGGCACCTGAACACAGCAGCAGCGGTACATTATGTGCCCTATTAGTGTCAGATTGGCTGGCTCTGTCTTAAGAGTTACCCTTCGACAAAAATCACATGCCAGCAGCTGGAGAGGGCCTGAAGCTACTGGTGGTGGTAAATATTACACTATATCCTACAACCTTAGCTGAAAAGAAAAGTGAATGTATATTTAGATTGGGTTTTAGTTCCATTCTAAAGAAAAATTGCAGGATCCCTGTATCACAGTGAGGTGAGTGTAATGATGTAGTTACATTTATTACTTTGTTCCCAGATCCAGAGGTCTGCAAATTATAGATGCCAGCATACTTCAGCCCCCAAATGGCTCTCTGCAGCCAGATTGTTATCGCAAAAAGTATTGAACTACTTCACCTCTTACACCTGTATACCTCCTATGGACCAAAGCAAATATTATAGTTCTATAGTTTGTACCAAAGAAATTAAGGATGCACTGAAATTTCAGGCGCCAAAACATTTCGGCTGAAAATGGTGCTATGGGCAAAATACCGATAGTAACAAACACAAAAATGCGGTGCATCCCTAGCATCTCTCCTCCCCGTTGGGCGCAAGTCTGTGCCACCTCCCAATCCCCACTGCTCTCCCCTGCTTGTGCCTGCATCGGGGATCGGAGGAGACACAGAGTCGATCCAGCTGCCGGCGCCCAGCTGGGAGGAGAGAAGCGGGGAGGAGGCGGCTATCGGGAGGCTGAGCGAGGCGGTTGCTTCAACCAATATATGCAGAGCTCCTTCCTTGGATCTGCAGATAAATGAATAATAACAATGTTACTTTGTATCTCATGTCTAAACAGTGTTTATAAACACTGTGTCATAGGTCCTTTGTATTTACACAGCAGGTCCCAGGTCTCATTTTGATCGCTGGGAAGTGTGTGGGTGGTGGTGGTGGTGGGGGGTAAGTAAGGGGAGCCAGAGTGTTGCAGAAGAACCGGGTGTACTACACATGCCCTGTTTACTTTGATTACCTTTTTTGGGGCATGTGTAGCATGCCTAGTGTCCACAACTGGTTAAAGTATAACCCAAAAAAACTAAGATTTGATGTTTTCAGACTAAGAAGAACATTTTCAGCAAGTACAGAACATAACTGTTGTTCCTGCAATAAATGCAGTGCCCTGGTCACTTCCTATGAATTAAACTGAAAGCTTTCTTCCTTCTATAAACCATTAATCTTATCATCCCCCATATAACAGAGATGACCAAAGGCAGAAATGCTTGAGGTCCAGCCTGGGTGGCAACCATAGATATAGTGGAGAAGTAAATGGAGCCATCGAGGAACAGGAAGTGTTATTGTCAGGATTCGCAGGTGAAAATAGAGTTAAAAAACCTGGAAAATTGTAGCCAACACATCTAAGTAATAGTAAGCAGCCATAGACTCATTTTTATTTTTGGGTTTAATTACTTTAACTGTATGGTTTGGGAATCTTAGTTACTTTCAGAGAGAGAAAACATGCTGGGACTGAAACTTTGCAACTGTAGACCAAGGACAGGAGACAAAGGTAAGTGTAAAGCACATTATAACATTCACCTTTCCCCTCTGTCCAGAGATCTTGTGATCCTGGAGCTCTTTTTTAGTCAAATTTCACGACCCTCGCTTTTTAATTATGCCTGCCTACGTATCTTCTCAGTAAAGTTCCAAATACTCTGTTTTGAAATTGCAAGGCTTTTGTCATGCAAATGGCCCTCTTAATAAATTTCCGTACAGATCTCCACAGTAGAGATGATGAGGTGGTCGCTTCAGGTGCCGAGTCTGAAATCTTAAAGATTCCACAGTTCTGCTGCTTTCCCCGCCATTCATAACATTCCCCCTGTGTAGGCAAGATAGCAAACTGCAAATGGAAAATGTGATCTGGACCATTGGACCTATTAATTGCCCCGCTGGTCTAGTTAATTTTTTTTCCCTTAAGTTAATCTTCTGCACAGAACTAATTTATATTTTTATAGCAGCTTTTCTTCACGTACCGTCTCTGGTTCCTGTGCCTCCCCCTGGCCGAGGCACAGCCAGCCAAGTCATTGACAAATTAGATCTGCACATTTTGCAATTTCACAGTTGTTCGTAAACACTTGAGCTGAAATGGACTGTCCTGCCTCCTTTTCATGCACAGCAGGACTGGTATTAGCAAAAGCTGTTTCCATTCTCCCCTATTCACTAGGTATATGAAATTCTGATGGGCGTGTGCAGCTGGATTTAGTTATTCCAGACAAATTGGAGCTTTGCATTAAGTACTTGATGGTTAAGGGGCCATGATATTTTTCTTTAACACCACACGTTCTCTTTGAAATTGAGAAGTAGGACTTGTTTTGCATTTCATATGATTTTTTTTTTTTTTTGC